GAGGGTTGGACGGGCAGATGGGGGGAGGGTTGGTCGGGCAGGAGTGGATGTGCTGCCGCCCTGCCTTTTCCCACATGAGCATTGAGCACTCCCTTAGGACCTGTCTGGTTCAAGGTGCTGGAAACAGTAATAAATACATCAGGCCCTACCCTGCCCCGGGCCTGTGGGAGCTGCTGGCGGTGGGGATGAGCATGCAGCCTCCTGAGGGAAGGTCCGGGGACCAGCCAGCCCTCCTCGCCTGCCTTCTGCCTCCAGCCAGGGGCAGAGTGGGGACAGACTGACCCCCGGTGGCAGGAGCCAGTAGGACAGCCCAGACGAACTTTCACACTCCAGCCTCCGACTCCCTGCTCTGTCTCTTCCTTGAGTTCTCTCCCAGGGAGGGGGGTGGGGCTGCACTTCTCCAAGCCTTAGTTTCCTCATCTGTGAAATGGGGATCCGTGGTGGCACCTGATGCCGGGGACCCAGTGAGACCCAGCGGCAGGCGTGAGCACTTGCTCTGGAAGTGCTAGTCTCTCATGGGGTAGGGTGTGGCCCAGAACTCACCACCTCCCTTTTGTGTATGTGTGTCTGTCTGTCCTGCACCCCAGTTTCCTGGAGCATTTGCACAAACATCAGGGCTCCGTCCTGCACCCCGACTACAAGACAGCCTTCCCCTCCTTCGAGGATGCCCTCTATCGCCTCCTGCCCTACCACGTCTACCAGGGTGCCCTCCCCTCCCCCGGCGACTACCACAAAGGTGAGGCCTCCCCGGGACTGTGGCAGCAGCCAGTCCAAGTGGGCTTTTGGCAAAAGGTGGCGATACTCGACTGTGCGTGTGTGAGCTTGAATTCGGACGCAAACAGCACCGTGTATGGGCTCACTGTGAGTGCACACTGAGCCCTGCACTCAACTCTGTGCATACTGTGTGTAGCACGCAATCTGGTGTGCCCACTTGGCTGTGTCCACCCCCCCCCACCCCACCCCACCCCCGTGTGTGTGACTGTGTGCGCACTACTCACGTACGTGCACACTCACCCCTGTATCAGAGGGTTCCTCAACAAGCACTGCTACGAGGGTCCCCATTCCTGCAGACACAGGCTGGTTCCACACAAGGGGTTGGACCACACCTACTGTCTGTGGGCAGCTGCAGGCAAGTTCCTTAGCCGCCCACTTGTTGGCGTCTTATCTGAGCACCTCCAGGAAAACAGAAGGGACTTCTTGCGGGATCTCCTGGGCCAGTTCCCTTCAAAGCTCAGAAGATGATAGTGGGTGGGGGGTACAGGGGTTCACTGTTGGGGGGGCCGGTTTCCAAAGGAGTCATCTGGACAGATTTTTTCCCAAAGGACACAGGACACTGGGACACTTACCGGCCTTATTATAAAGAGATTGTAAGAAAATTGAAAACCTTCGTGAGTCAAAGGCCAGGGAGGGAGCCTCCTCCCAGCAATTAGCTGCTCCATTCTCAGGCATAACCAGGGCTGCCTTTGGAGAGTTTACCCGGAGGGCCCTGGCCCTGCCCCAGAACTCCAGGAGCATGTCAGAGGAAGGCGATGGGAGCCCCTTGGTGGATGCCAGAGCTGCCCTTTTAGAGCCCTGTAAATGGAGAGGGGCAGAGAGATGACGGCGCCCAGATGTTCTGTCAAGTGTCAGGACAGCGAGAAAGTTAGAGGTGCCGCTAGATGAGTCCTAGGTGGGTTGGCTGTAACCTTGGGCACAAGCACAGCAGCTGTGAGGCTGGCGCGGGACAGGCAGTGATGTCCCACCCCCGCCCAAATTAGAACAAAACAAAACAAAAAGCAAAAGACCGTGGGATTCTCATGTCTCATAGCAGTACTCGCTCAGCAGTGGGTATTACGGGCCGAGGTGGTTACAGTCCCGCCACGGTCTGAGCCCCTGCCCCCCTCTCTTCTCCCCCGCATAGTGGACGAAGAGTTCGAGACGGTCTCCACGCAGCTGCTGAAACGCACCCAGGCCATGCTGAACAAATACCGCCTCCTGTTGCTGGAGGAGTCCCGGGTAAGAGCCCTGACCGCGCCCGCCCCCCTGCGCCAGACAGGCCGCCCTGCTGCGACCTCCCTCCTCACCTCCAACCTTCCCTCTACCCACCCAGAGGGTGAGCCCCTCGGCTGAAATGGTGATGATCGACCGCATGTTCATTCAGGAGGAGAAAACCACTCTCGCCTTGGATAAACAGCTGGCCAAGGAGAAGCCAGGTAAGAGGGAGAGGGGAAAGGGTCCCCGGCCCCGCCGCCTTACCACGTTGCACCACGAGAGGGCGCCTGCTGCTCTCCGGAGCCGCGAACTGCTTGGAGGTCAGCAGTTCCAGCCCACCCTCCGCCACTCAGGAGAAAGATGAGGCAGACTGCTTCCGATTGAAACCCTATGGGGCTCTCTGCGCTGTCACATAGAGTCGCTGTAGGTCGAATGGCCTAGAACGGGAGAGAGGCCCGTTTGGAGATTTATCACATCCTTCACAGGCCATACTGGTCAGACATTATAATTGACTCACTCCCATGAGACGGCTGCAACTGTGGTGTTAGCTGGTATTGATTTTGCGGGCCTTTTGGACATTAAGTTCTCAACTGTGAACCAGAAGGTTGGCAGTTCAAACCTACCCTTCTCCTGGAGAAGAGCCCCAGTATCTCACAACCACCCCACCACCCTGTAGCATCGACAGCCTAGGCATCCCCATGAGACGTCCGTACTCGGACCGCGCCAGTGGCATCCAGCAGGAAGCACACATTTCCGCTGCGATTCTGACATCCAGCGAGCCACAAAACGTCTTCCATTTCCAGAGGCTGTTAGCACAAAGCCCCAGAGAACTTAGTGTCCCGGTGAACCGTCTACTCTGTGCATGGCCAAAGTCCCCAGCCCCGCCCACTGGGGCAAGCAGTCCATTTGGAATTTAAGCACCCCGTGGGAGTCGGTTCTGACTCCTGTGACCCCAGTGCTGGGCAGAGCAGAACTGACCCC